CAGGCGCCCGCCACAATGCCTAGCTATTTTTTGGTTGCAGCCGTCATTGTTGTTTGGCGGGTCCGGGCTGGGGATTCGAACCCACCACCTAAGGTGTATGTGGCTGGCGCCTTAGCCGGTTGAGCTATAGGCGCCAAGCCAAGTCCGGCTGTCTTTGGAGATGAGGTCTCACTCTTGCTCAGGCTGATCTCAAACCCATGAGTTCAATTAGACAATCCACCTGCCTTGGCCTCCCATAGTGCTGGGATTACAGGTGTGAGCTACTGCACCTGGACCTATAATGCATTTTCTTATTTTCTCTGCAAAACAAACTGTTATGTGGGGGTATTCTCCCCCATTAACATTGAGGAAAATGAGTCTCAGAAATTAAGCAATTTGTCCAAGGTCACCCAGACAATTAGTAGTACAGCCAAAATTTGAACTCAAGCTGGGCACGGTGGCTCGAACCTGTAATCCTAGCATTCTAGGAAGCTGAGGCAGGAGGATCACTTGAGCTCAGGAGTTTAAGACCAGCTTGAGCAAGGGCAAGACCAAGTCTCTACTGAAAACAGAAAAAAGTAGCCAAGCATGTGGCACATGCCTATAGTACCAACTACTCAGGAGGCTGAGGCAAGAGGATTGCTTGAGCCCAAGAGTTTTAGGTTGCTGTGAGCTGTGATGCCATAACACTCTATTGGAGTGACAGAGCAAGACTCTGTCTCAAAAAAACAAAAGCAAAAAACCTCAGCTCTATAGCACATATTCTTGCCCAATATCCTCTGCTGCCTAAGGATATCTTACCAGTGACATTTCAGGAGCTGGAGTCACAGCAGGGATCAGATTCTAGCTCTGCCATTTCTACCCAAATCAATAGCAAGTTGCTTAATCTAAGTCTCAGTTTGCATTGCTGTACCTTAACGATACCAATACCTATGTCATAATGTTATGAGAAAACAAAACAAGCTAATGCCTGCAAACACATCCCTTGGCACATAATAAACCCTTGATAAGAACTGTTAGTATTGATGTTGCTATTTTTTTTTTAATTTTTTTTGTAGAGACAGAGTCTCACTTTATCACCCTCAGTAGAGTGCTGTGGCATCACAGCTCACAGCAATCTCCAACTACTGGGCTTGCCTCAGCCTCCCAAGTAGCTGGGACTACAAGCGCCTGCCACAATGTCTGGCTATTTTTTTGTTGCAGTTTGGCTGGCACCAGGTTTGAACCTGCCACCCTCGGAATATGGGGCTAGCACTCTACCCACTGAGCCACAGGTGCCACCCTACTATTATTATTTCAACCATCTATTACATACTCTCTACTTAGTAATCCCTGCTGTATGTGTCTGACACAGGTCCCCATTCTTGGGTACATCAGTGATCTAAAGGCTACCAGAGATCCCTTCTCCTTAAATTTCACACAACCTGATAATAAGATACCCCCACCTCTGAATTCAGGGATGCAACTAAAAGCAACTGCCTCAAAGCCTCAAAGGCTGAGGCATCTGCCTTCCTAGGGTGGATCATCCACCATCAGAACTTCCGCCTGGAGTCCTAGTTGCCCTTGCCAGTCCTGGGCAATCTTTGGGTCCTTACCTGGGGGGCCAGGGCCAAGGCCAGGGCCAGGGCCGGGGCCAGAGGCAGGGTTTGGCCGGTGCTGTAAAGCAGGGCACTCGAGACCACGAGTGAGCCTGGCCAAGGAGACGTTAGAGATGATGTTTGGGGGCACACTGAGGATAGAGGTGATGTGTAGTGGGAGGTTGACGTTGTAGGGGTCCGAGATGTGGACACCAGCACAGCGCTCTGCACGGCTGCTGCCCCCACCCCGGATGGCTGACCGCCCAGTTCGTGGTGTGCCTGGTTCTGAGTTTGTGCCACCCAGTGCTTCTGCCTCTGGCTCTTGTTCACCCTCTGCTGCCTCCAAAGAATCATTCTCCATGTTCTCAGGCAGCAGTGGGCTAGGCCGGGGGCTGGTGGGCCCCACTAGCCCCTCTGGCTCTGTGGAGGAGAGAGAGGGCCAGATAAGCCAGAGCCGAAGCTCTGAGGAGCCTAAACACCCCAGCAAGGCTCTGAAGAATGTTCTCTGCTTTCTCAGGCCTGGACAGCCTCTTCTTCTGGCCCAGCTTCTTCTGGCCATTACTGCAAACTCCATGCAGCCAGTTGGCCACATGTACACACACTGACCCCTGCTGTTGGTCACACAGCACACACAGAGGGGTGCACACCTACACTCACCGTCACTGGCCCCAGCTGCAGCACTCAGTGAGTCCATACTCTTGGCTGGCCGCAGTGTCCCCTTATTGGATTTGTCCTCTGCAAGACAGAGATGTGTGTAGAGCCATGGCCTTGCACATGCTCAGCAGAGCTCCCCCACCTCCTCAGTCTTACCCCTGTCCTCAGCTCCCCGTGGAAGTTTACGCTTTGTCTCATGACCAGAACGACCTAGATTGAAGATAGATCTCCACTTCCTGACCTTCAGAGATCCCTTCCTCCTGCAAGGAAGGAAGAAATAATTGGAGGCTGGGGCCTGGTGATCAGTGCAGAGGAGAAGGGCCCAGGAAGGCAGCCTTACTTGTGCTCTGCAATCTCAATGATAGTATGGTAGGGCCGCAACTGTGGGGGTCCATCCCCAGCCTGTAGGATGCTAGGCAGATGGTAAGGTAGGGACCTGGGCATATGGTCCTCAAGGTTGCCTGATGCCCGGGCCCCTGGAAGTGATCGCCATCCACTGTCCATCTCACCACCTGGGAAGAGAAAAGGAATTGACCAGCAAAGAACAGAGCTGAGAGAGGGATCTCAGGTACCTAGCCCTTCATCACCCTACCAACTACAAGGCTAAGGATACACTCAGAGGCCCTTGGAGATAGTGCCTCTATGTCCAGCTCTTCAAGAGGGTGTCCTCATGGACAAAGAAGGCCAGGACACCCCAAGACATTGACCTGGGATGGGAGGTAGGTATGAACTGCCACTATCCTTGCAAACCAGGATGTGGATTCTGAGATCAGACTATGCCCTGGACAACAGAAGCCTGCTGTAGTCCTGACTGCATGCACCATTATCTCTCCAGGGTTCTCCCCATGGGACCATCACCCATATCTCTCTATGAGAATCAAATTTCCCATCTGCAAAACAGGGAAAGTGAACTAGCTGATCTTCAAGGCCCTCTATAATTAATATGACTCTCCAGACAGAGAGTGGTGATGTGTGGGGGTCAGGAAGGACACTGACCAGAGAGGGAGGCACCCCCAAAGAGCTGGTCCACATGTGTGAGGATGAACTCAACGACGATGGACTGCACACGCACTTCCATGAAGGCTGCCGTCCCATTGAAGCCTGAGGCCTCTATGTCCTTAGACCTGTGGAGACATGGAGTTGTTCTCTCTGCAGCCCTACTATACCTGCCCATCCAAACGCTCCCTGAGAATACCTCAAACCCTCTTCCTTGCATGCCCTTAATGCCATCTCTACCTTTTTTTTTGAGACAGAGTCTCACTTTATCGCCCTTGATAGAGTGCCATGGCATCACAACTCATAGCAACCTCCAGCTCTTGGGCTTACGCGATTCTCCTGCCTCAGCCTCCCAAGTAGCTGGGACTACAGGCACCTGCTACAATGCCTGGCTATTTTTTGTTGCAGTTTGGCTGGGGCCGGGTTTGAACCCGCCATCCTCAGTATATGTGGCTAGTGCCCTACTCACTGAGCCGCAGGCACTGCCCCATCTCCACCTTTTAAATAATATGCATGATGCCTTGGAGTTTCAAATGCTTCTTCCTCAAGGAAGTCTTCTTGGATACTGTCCTCAGGACTAATCTGTATTTCCTTTGCTTGCCAGGATGCCTCATTTATAGTAAATTACAGAAATTCTCATAGCCTGCCTAGTACCACAGCGAGTGATATGCAAACCAGTTCTCCAGTAGACTGCAAGACATTTGCCAAAATAGGACATATCATTCTCCAATCTCTGAGCTCAGTGATACAGTGAAGGAAAACAGAAAGGATCTGCACTGGCCAGGTGTAGTGGCTCACACTTGTAATCCCAGCACTCTGGGAGATGAAAGCAGGAAGATTTCTTGAGCTCAAGAGATTTTTTTGTTTGTTTGTTTTTTAGACATGGTTTCACTTTGTCACCCTTGGTAGAGTGCCATAGTGTCACAGCTCACAGCAACCTCTAGCTCTTGGGCTTAGGAAATTCTCTTACCTCAGCCTCCTCAGCTTCCCCAGTATCTGGGACTACAGGTGCCCACCAAAACACCTGGCTATTTTTTTGTTGCACTTTGGCCGGGGACGGGTTCAAACCCACCACCCTTGGTATATGGGGCCGGCACCCTACTCACTGAGCCACAGGCGCCACCTGAGCTCAAGAGTTTGAGACCAGCTGGAGCAAGAGCAAGACCCCAATAGTTTTTTCTATTTTTTTCTCTACAAAAAAAAAAAAAAAAAAGTAGAAAAAACTAGCTGGGCATTGTCACAGGCACCTGTAGTGCCAGCCACTCAGGAGTGTCAGTCAGGAGGATCACTTGAATCCAGGATTTTTTTTAGAAACAGAGTCTCACTTTATCACCCTGGGTAGAGTGCTGTGGCATCACAGCTCACAGCAATCTCCAACTCCTGGGCTCCATCACAGCTCACAGCAATCTCCAACTACGTCTCCTGCCTCAGCCTCCCAAGTAGCTGGGACTACAGGCACCTGCCACAACACTCGGCTATTTTTCTGTTGCAATTTGGCTGGGTTCGAACCTGCCACCCTTGGTATATGGGGCTGGTGCTCTACCCACTGAGCCACAGGCGCTGCTCTGAGTCCAGGAATTTGAGGCTGACACCACAGCACTCCAGTGTGGGCAACAGAGTAAGTCCTGGCCGTTAGGGACTTTATTTGATCTCAGAGAAGGGGCTCAAATAGGTGGGCCCTTTAACAAAAAAAAAAAGATCTTGCCCTTCGGGACTTTATTTGATCTCAGAGAAAGGACTCAACTAGGTGAGCCCCATCACATTCAACATAACCTTGATCACTTCTTTCTCACTGGCCTTCATGATACCCCACACCCCTCTCTGGTGCACCCACACAGCTATACACTGTCCTGGGAGCAGCCTCCCAAAAGTTAGCCTCTCCCAGAATCTCCACATATACACTCACCTTAGCAGGTTGGGGGCCCACACGATGGCCAGGTTGCGGGCATGCATGTTGGTCTGGGCACTGAACGAGGCCATGTGCACCAAGTGCCGCATGAGGAACTCCAGGGTCCTGCAAAGAGTGGGAGAAGGGGTCATGCAGGGAACACCCAGATGAAGGTAGGGCTGGGCCTGGGAGCTGGGAGGGATAAATCAAGGCTCTCAGTGGAAAAAGGGGGGCGTGGGGGGGTCAGGAGGGGTCAGGACTCTTGGGGGTGGGAGCTTTGAGGAGGGAGTGCTATATACCTGTAGTTTGGGACAGGGAGTTCTCGAAGCACCTCTAGGATCTTGACCAAGCGCTCAGGCTCTAATTGCACTGCCACAGCCTCCTGATTGGGAGGAAGCAGGAGTCAGTGACCCAGTAGTGCCCCTGCTGACTCCCCAGAGCTCTGCACCAAACCCTCAAGAGCAATCTAGGCTGTGTCCTGGGCTGCCCTCGCCCTGGCTCTTCTGAGACGCCTTAACTTAGTAGAGAGAGCTCAGAACTTGAGGTCTAGGAAAGATAGCAGCCGAATCTTGGTAATGCCACCTCATAGCTTCTGTGAACTTGAGCACCTTCACTGCTGCTCCCTGCCTTCACATGCTCATTAGTAGAGCTCTGGTACTGGGACACATGAGTGGACCCAACCTGTGGGGTTGCTTCAGTGTGTCCAGGAAAGTCTGCACCCACCCAGTCTAGCTGTGTGAACCAAGTGTTATGCCACTACTGCCCAGGGTCTCTCAGTGTTCTGTGCTTAGTAAAATGCAAGTTATTTGTTTGTTTCTTTTT